TTGGAGGAGACCCATCAAAGGAGGGGGCGGAGTAGATTTGCCCCCCCCCCCCCCCCCCCCCCCATACCCCCAGAGACCAACATGTAGCCGGATTTGTAGTACAATCAATGATTTTGGCTTTCTCGGCCATTTGGGGCGTCTTCGGTGCCTCTGGGCGGCCTCTTGGGGCCTCTTGTCAGGAAGGGAAGAAACACACAGACACAATTAATCGTCGATTCCTCAGAAAATATGGGGAAACATGGGAAGTGGGGGGGAAGACGAAACCCCAGAAAATATGGGAAAATATGGGGAATTATTTTATTTGTGTGCATTTGTTTGTGTGTCCCAGGGCCCCTTCATCTTGGGGGTCTCTTGGGAGCCTCTGGGGGGCATTTAAGGGGGCCCATTGGGGGCCTCTTTAGGGCCTCCTGGGCACCCCTCGAGGCCCTGTTGGGGCAAACTCGGGAGCTACCTCGGGGCTACCTCGGAGGAGACTGATCAAGGGAGGGGGGCTCCTTCATTAAGGTCCCCTTTCCCAGGAGGCCAAACTGCGGTCAGAACTTCCTCGCCGAGGCCATCTTAGGACGCTCCAACGACCCGCGAACCCCCTCGTCCAGGTCCAGGGATGGGGAGTATTGGGGGGAGGGGTCGAGACACCCTCCCCGCCCGCAGGCCGTCTCGCTCACTCCCACCCGTCCTCCGCACGTCTACTAGCACCCGAGCCTCAGCATGTTCCGCATTCAGCGGTCGTCCATGGGCAGACAGCTACTGGAAATCGAAACAGACCCCATGTGCGCGTCGTTGGGGCGAGGTGCGCCACGCGTGCCAGGAGCGTCACGCCCCCTTGCGCGCCAGATGCGCCACGTGCTCCACGTGCGCCATGTGTGCCGCAGGGTCCAGCCGCGCCAGCTGCGCCACGTGAGGGGCACGCGCAGAGTGTGCCAGTCGCCTCCGCGCACGTGACAACACACATTGGGAAACATGTCGGCCCCCACCGTCCTTGCCGAAAACCAATACACAATCGCGGCGGGGAGGCCATCATGGTGTTTGGTGTCAGGCCTTGGCAAAATAGCGAACACGCACGCCACATTCATCGGTCGACGCCTCCCCCTCCCCCCAAGGGTCAGAGTTGGCGGTGGGTATTACGATTTGCACTTCGACCGCAGTTTCCCCCACGTGTGCCAACTTTGAGTTTTGGGGAGGGGGAGTGTCCACTAATTGTTTCCCCCTACCGTCTCGCGTCTTAGGTCATGCCGCCGTGTGCGAGCAGCCTGTGCTAACCTGCGGGCAAGGATTGCTGTGAGACCACGCGGAGAATGAGATAGGACATTCTTGACGCTTCGCGAATCCCCACCAGCGGCCCACCGCTTTAGTTTAGTTCGTCTTTGCGCGCCCCGCTCTGACTGGACTCGCCGCTGGCGCGCTCGCCTGCGGCCGCTGACTAAAAGAATCCCCACCAGCTGCAGCACGGCCCTGGGGCAGCTGCTTCCCCCGGCGGCAGGTCCTGCTTTCCCGTGCGCGCGCGCCGACAATTCGGTTCGCTCGCAGCCCTAGCCGCCTCGACCCGCTGCGGGCGCCTGCGCCCGTGGCCGCGGCGGCAAGAAATCCCCACCAGCCCATCCAGAAACGGTGCCCATGACAGCTGACAGGGTGGAGAGAGGAAAAGTCGGGGGTGGACAGACCTCCTACCCTGACACGTCGATTAAGGAATTGGCCGTTTTCGGTTCGCGAGAGGGCGTCGCGGCCGTCATTTTTGCGGGTCCAGGTCTGTCGGTTTCGGTCTTGGGCCGTTTTCACTAAAGGGAATTTTACTAAAGGGAGGTTTGTCCACCGCCGAAAAAGGCACATGCAGTCACGCAGCGCGGGCAACAAGGGTGATTTGAGACACCTCTCCGAGCGAGAGAGGCGGGCCTGGAGGGCCTGTCGGGGCAATTCCCAGGCCCGCGCGGGGCGCGAGGAGGAGGAGGAGGCAAAGAAGGAAAACGATGAGGACGGGGGAGGAGGCAAGAGTAGTGGGACAAGGAGGTGAAGGAGGATAAGGATCAGGAGGACGAGGACTAAACGAGCGAGGGCGAGGGCGAGCAGGATGACGAAGACGAGGGGGATGACGAGGACGAGGAGGAGGAGGAGGAGGAGTAGGAGGAGGCGGATGATGATAATGATGATGATGGTGCTGATGATGATGATGATGATGATGATGATGATGATGGTGATGGTGATGCTGATGCTGATGCTGATGCTGATGATGATGCTGCTGATGATGATGATGATGATGATGATGATGATGATGATGGTGGTGGTGGTGGTGGTGGTGGTGATGATGATGATGATGATGATGAGGAGGAGGAGGAGGAGGGGAGGAGGAGGAGAGGAGGGGAGGGGGAGGAGGAGAAGGAGGAGGAGGAGGAGGAGGAGGAGGAGGAGGGGGACAAGAACGAGCAGGACAATGATAAGGATTTTCCGATGAAGGAGTCTTAGGATGCATGCGTTTCTCGGTGAAGGAGTTTCTCGATGAAGGAGTTTGTTCGATGAAGGAGTTCTTTGTGTGTTCACTGGCAATGTGGTCCCACATGCGGCTGGGTCCTCACAGTCCTGGTGGTGCTCAGGCTCTGATTGCCTCAAACATTCTGGTTGTGCACTGATGCTTGTCAGGAGTGGTGATCACTGGCACTGTGGTCCCACGGGCGGCTGGGTGCTCACAGTCCGAGTGGTGCTCAGGCGCTGATTGGCTCAAACACTCCTGATTGCGTACTGAGGCTTGTCAGGAGTGGTGTCACTGGCACTGTGGACCCGCAGGCGTTGCGAACATTAATGAGACACCCACTAGGGCAGCAGGAGCGGGCATGTTTGGCAGGAAGTCCGTCAATGAGGCAGCCAACGAAGGCGCGGGTCGCCGGTCGCGGGCGCGGGTCTCCAGCCCGGGTCGCGGGCTTTGGTCGCGAGCTCTGGTCCCAGGCGCGGGTCTCGAGTGCGGCTGGCTGGTGCGAGTCGCGGTCGCGGGTCGTAGGCACGGGTCGCCTCCGCACTAGGCCGCAGGCTGCACCTTTCTCGTTTTCCCTAGGTTTTTTCCACCGGCCGCCGTGCCTAGCGGGTGGGTGGCCGACATTCCTGCGTTTCGAGTTTCCCTTCCTCTCAGGGAAGGGGGGGACCCGAAACAAAATTGGAAGCTTCCAATTTAGATTTACGCTGCACCACCTTGAATTTTCGTTCTTCCTGTTCACCACGCCCATGTAGCGTGGCGGTGCTTGACAGCCTTACAGCTCCCACCATTGGGGCGTGGTGCGTCGTTTTGCCTTTTCTCGGTGGGAGCGCGAATCGGGGCAAAACTTTCGTAGCGCCAGTGCATGTATGGCGTGCCCCACATTGGCCGTTCGTGGCAACTCGAACCTCGCTGCAGGCCATTTTGCCCGTGGCATCAGGCTTGTAGCGCGCCGACGCTGACCGCACTGCCAGCCAGGATGGTGTGCCGGAGGCCCACTGGATTCCGTGGGGTGCAGATGATCCAGCGGGTGCGCGACCTTCTCTACATGACAATCACGCAGATTGCGTTGGCCGTGGATCGTTCCAGAACCACAGTCTACCGCGCCTTGGCCTTCTCGCCCAACCGCCTAGACTCACCTCGGCGCGGCCGCCCGTCCGCCCTTGCCAAGAGGCAAATCATCCACGTGATGTTTGTTTTTGCAGGATATTGCGCGCTGCTCCGAGGCACTTGGCCCGGCAGATTGCAGCCGAGTCCCGGCTAGGGCGCCATCGACCTTGCGGCCGAGCACTGGGTTTCCCAGAGGAGCTCTGCGCGGCCAAACGCGCCTGGTGCATCACACTCGCCCGCCAGGTGCCCGCTGGGTGTGCGAAGTGCAGACAGGTGCGCCATGTGCGCCAGACGCGACAGGTGCGCCGCGGTCCACCAGCGTCCCTTGCTTCCATGTGTCGCTCGAATCGCTCGTCCCATCGGGCGCTATTTTTCATGTGTCGCTTGAGTCACTCGTTAGAGAAAGATATTGAGAAACTCGTGGGAGTTTTTTCTTTTTCTACGACCGATGCGAGCGATCAGAAAAAAAGGTCCGATGGGGCGAGCGTTGCGAGCGATGCGTGAAACATTGGGCGGGGCACGACAGGGCCACCCCAGAAGTGCCATCGCTGGTTGCACAAGAATCCGCATCCGCTGCGGCACCGCAAGCCGCGGCGCCCGAGCGGCGAAGCCTAGTTGGGACTGGCCGGCGGAGCGCCCGCGGCATGTCTTTCGCTGCGGCCGTCCAGCCCTACCGACTGCGGGCCAAGCGGCCGCCTCGCGCGCCGCGCGTGGGCGTCGCGGCCGCCGCGCAGACGACCGATGCCGCCGCCGTGGCCCAGGCGGCGCTGGCGGTTGAGAACTGGGCGGGGCTGGCCGCGCTTGCCCCCGACTTGCAGCGCCGGCGCGCGCGCGTCGCGCGCGCGGGCCCTGCCCGCTTCGGAGGGGCAGCCTGGGGGCCTGGCGCGGGGGAGCTTCGGGAAGCGCTTTGGGCGGGTCTACCTGGGGCTTGCCCCGAGGCAGCGAACGCATCCGGCTCGATGCCCACGTTCGGCGCGGTGGCGCAGGAGACCCGTGCGGCTGGCGGCTCGCCGCGACGGGCGCGGGGACATGCGCCGCCGCACGGCTTGCCGCGCGAGCCAGAAGCACTGCTGGCGGAAGGTCGCAGACATCGGCCACCAGCGCTGCGGGGTGAAAATGAACGTGGTGGCGCGCGAGGGGCGCTGCTCCGCGCGCGGTGGCCACCCCGGGGGGGCTTCTCTCGGGGCTCGCCGAGGAGGTGCTCTTGAGCCCCGTGCGCCCGCGGGGCGAGGCCCCCCGCGAGCTCCCGAAGGCGGGCCAGCTGTTCGCCCGCGCCAGCGCTGGGAAGCGGCTCGCCGGCGAGCCTGGGCAGCCGCGCGCCGAGAGGATGCGCCCGGGCGATGCGTTCGTCTTGGCCCAGGATAATGGGCATCCGAACGGCTTTGGAACTGCGGGGGATGGCAGCTTCCGCGGCCAGAGAGGGCGACGCGAGGCTCGCGGAGTTTTGCGCCGCCCAGCGCGAAGACTGGCTGAACCGGTCGGTTACTTCGGCCGAGGCCGTCGTGCAGGCGCCGCGGACGATTGCTCCGAGGGCGGCGGCGCGGCTGAATCTCCTTGGCAGGACTGGGGGCGCAGCGACAGCGCCATCCTGTTCGAGGATATGTTGAGCATGCTTGTTGGCGATAGCATGGGCATCCACGTCCCGAGCCAGAAGAACGCGCTGCACCAGAACACCGCCCCAGTGCGAGGAATTTCCCTTCGTTTGCAGTCCGCCCATACCCCTCTGTCATGATGCGCCTGTACCAGGCGATGCAGGAGCGCTTCACCGCGCGGGTCTGGCAGACACCGCTCCCTACGGATGCTCGAGTGAAGGACTTCCCGCGCTGCAGCCGCTGCTGCGAACATTTCTATATGCAGTGTCGCTGAACGGTGGCAGCGGCGCGCGCAACGCTTTCCAACGCCGCGCGCTTGCATTCGGCTCAAAACGTCGTCCGCGTCGTCATCGCCGTCGTCGTCGCTGTCGCCTTCGTCGTCGTTGCCGTTGCCGCCGCGTCTATTTATCGTTATCAGGCTGGGGTGTGCACCTTGCCAGACAGCTTGGAAGCGCGTTTTGCGTCACCGTGCGCCCGCGGCGCGGTGGAAGATACGTGCGTTCCGCGCCGCGCCCTGTCCAAACGCATCGAGGTCAGGAGCCAGCGTGTCCTGTGAATTGTGAGCGCTTCGCCCGTCCCGGCCGTCCCGTCTAGCAACGATGCCTAGGCGACCCGGTGACGAGCGTGGAGTGTTTGCGTTCTTCGAAATTTGGGACCTTTTCTACGAGCTTCGGTCCTCGCCCTCCTCCTCCTCCCCCCTTTCTCCCTCTTTCCTCCGTCCCCGTCCATCCCTCCTCCCTCCTCCCCCTACTCCGGTCTTCCTGCGTTCTCCTTTCCCCGCCCCCGTTCTTCCCCACCGCTCCGCCGTCCTCCCCGTTCGTTGCCCTTCCCCCGCTCCTGCGTATTCCTCTGCCCTCCTCCGCGCTCCTCCCCAGCTCGCCCCACCATATGCACTCCTCCGTTTTCCTCCGCACTATTCCGTCTTCCTCCTATATCCCAAACTCCCCAAATATTCCACCCGCCGTTCCATTCGTAACAACTCTTCGGTCCTGCGATCCTCCGTATTTATCCCCATCCGTTCTTGCACTCCACTCCTCTGCCTTCCTCCGTACCCCCCAAGCCAATTCCACAAGTCTACACACCTCCGCCCCCCCCCCCCCCACTTTTCCATCGTCGTCCGCATTCCTCCAATTTTTCTCCACTCCATTTTCCGTTCCATTCCTAGCCACACCTCCGCAATCTGTCTCGCCCCCCCATCAATTCCCGCTCCTCCCCTCCCTCGCTTTCCTCCCTTCTTCTCCACTTTCCGTTCCGATCCTAGCCATTCGTCCGCCCTCCTCCGCATTCCTCTCCATCTGTTTTCCTTTCTCCCCGCACCTCCGCACCCCTCCTCCTTCCTCCGCATTCCGCCGGCACGCCTCCGTACTCCTCCCCATCCATTCCCGTTCCTCCCCAGACCACTCCGGTCCTCCACACTGCTCCGCACTCCTCGTTCCTCCTCCTCATCCCTCCTCTCGTCTACTCCCTCCGCTCTCCTCCCCTCTTCTCCACCCTCCGTTCCGATCCTAACCACTTCTTCGCCCTCTTCCGCAATCTTGCCCATCCGTTCCCGCTCCCCCCCCACACCTCCGCACTCCTCCGCCTTCCCTTGCATTTCGTCGGCATTATTCCGTATTCCTCCCCATCCATTCCCGCTCTTCCCCAGACCACCCCACTCCTCCGCATTCCTCGTTCTTCCCCCTCATCCCTCCTCTTGTGTACTCCGTCTTCTATCTTTCGCAGCCCAGGCAATTTGTGCAGAGCCATGTGCCAGGTGACATACCCAAAGGCATCGCATAAACATAGCCAACACGCATGCCGCATTCATTTGTCAATGCCTCCCCATCCCCCCTATGTTCAAAATTGGCGGTGGGTCTGATGATAGCACTTCAACCGCATTCTCCCCCGCGCGTGCCAAGTTTGAGTCTGGGTGAGCGGGGGTTTTGCCCCCTACCGTATGCCAGCACCCCCCCGCGGCCATTGTCAAAAACCAGTGGGCAATGATCGCAGGGTGGCCGCGCATGATCAAGATTTAACCGCGAAGTGTAGTTTGAGTCGTTTTTTGACAGAGATGGTGTGCTTTCGCGCAGCAGGCAATCTGGTACCTCCCCCGCCGTCCCTGTCAACAAACAGTGCAACGTGTTCGCGAAGCCCTTCATCATGACCCAAGATTTCGCCCGAACAGATATTCGGTAAGGGATGGTGGGGGGGGGGGACGGTTGGCCTTGTTCCTGGTTGGCTGCCGGTCGCCTGGGGTAAGGGGGTTGTTTATCAGTAGGGAGCAGTGATAAATCTTCCCCCGAAGGAGAAGAAAGGGGGTTGGAAGAGGAAGCGCTGTGAACCGCCCACGCCCTACAGGGCTGCTGGGATTCAGACTCAGCTGTGATGTTGTGAGCCGGGGGCGCCCCTGACTATCGCAGTCGTTACGGGGGTCGTGCGCCACGCCGTCTGGTTCCTTGGATTCTCAGCGGCCAGCTGCAGCAACAGTGAGCTCTGGGCTTCGTGTATGGCGCTGGCGGATTTTATTACCTAACAGCGAAGACTGATAGGTTTCTAGTGGTCTCAAAAGAGCTCACAGATCACTCCACAGGGGGGTCCGGGCAGGTGTTGGGGAGTTGCCGGGCGGCAGGGTGCCGGGCTCGTTTTTCACCAACAGTCACACACTTCGTGCTCTTCGACTTCCCAGAACTCCATTCCCAGGCCACATTCTGAATACCCGGATGCAACAGTCACACACTTCGTGCTCTTCGAGATCCCAGAACGCCATTCCCGGGCCACATTTAGAATAACCAGATGCAACAGTCACACACTTCGTGCTCTTCGACATCCCAGAACGCCATTCCCGGGCCACATTCTGGAGGGCCGGATGCAACAGTCACACACTTCGTGCTCTTCGAGTTCCCAGAACTCCATTCCCGGGCCACATTTTGGATGCCCGGAGCCAACTGTAGGCCACTTCGTGCTCTTCGAGTTCCCAGAACTCCATTCCCGGGCCACATTTTGAATGCCCGGAGCCAACTGTAGGCCACTTCGTGCTCTTCGAGTTCCCAGAACTCCATTCCCGGGCCACATTTTGAATGCCCGTAGCCAACTGTAGGCAACTTCGTGCTCTTCGACTTCCCAGAACTCCCATTCCTGGGCCACATTTTCAGCAGGGGCAAGAGCACGACGAGGAGGAGGACGAGCAAGACCAGGAGGACGAGGACGAGCAGGAGCAGGACGAGGAGCAGGAGGAGCAGGAGAAGAAGGACGAGCAGGAGGAGGAGGAGGACGAGCAGGAGGAGGAGGACGACCAGGAGGAGGAGGACGACCAGGAAGAGGAGGAGGAGGAGGAGGAGGGGAGGGGGAGGAGTACCAGGAGGAGGAGGAGGAGGAGGAGGAGGAGGAGGAGGAGGAGGAGGAAGAGGAGGAGGAGGAGGAGGAGGACGAGGACGAGGAGGAGGAGGAGGAGGGGGGGGGAGAGTACCAGGAGGAGGAGAACGAGGACCACCAGGAGGAGGAGGAGGAGGAGGAGGAGGAGGAGGAGGAGGAGGAGAGAACACCAGGAGGAGGAGGACGAGCAAGACGAGGAGGACGAGAACGAGGACGACCAGGAGAGGAGGAGGAGGAGGAGGAGGAGGGGAGGGGGAGGACTACCAGGAGGAGGAGGAGAGGAGGAGGAGGGAGGAGGAGGAGGAGGAGAGGAGGAGGAGGAGGACGAGGAGGAGGAGGAGGAGGAGGAGGACGAGGAGGAGGAGGGGGGGGGAGAGCACCAGGAGGAGGAGAACGAGGACCACCAGGAGGAGGAGGAGGAGGAGGAGGAGGAGGAGGAGAGAGCACCAGGAGGAGGAGGACGAGCAAGACGAGGAGGACGAGAACGAGGACGAGCAGGAGGAAGAGAGGAGGAGGAGGAGGAGGAGGAGGAGGAGGAGGAGGAGCAGGAGAAAGAGGAGGAGGAGGAGGAGGAGGAGGAGGCAGGCTGAGGCTGAGGCTGTGACTGCGACTGCCGTTGCCGCTGCGACTGTCATCGCGAATGCGACTACGACTGCGAGAACAGCAGAATTCGACAACTGGATTTTCATCTGAATCTTAAGGGGAATGCTTTCAGATATGCTTCTACACATCGCTGTTAGGTTGCTTTGCCGGGATAATTTTTTGTGGGCGAGCATTTGAGGAATGTATGGCTTGCGACCAGGCAAAGAGACGTCGGATCCGCCGGCGCGAAGTCACCGCCCGAGGGTGCGTTTTCGCTGGTGCGTGTTTGGGCGAGTTCCCGATGTTTTGCCCGCGCTTCCATGACTCATCTGATGGTCTTTGACCCATCCCGCCACCGTGCCCGGGTTGTGTGTCATAGGCCTTTGGCTATTCATGGGGATGTCGTGGGAGGCCCATCGGGGGCCTCTTGGAGGCAGTTTTGAAGCCGCTTGGGGCCGTTTTGGTGCTTTTTGGGGCGTCTTGAGGGCCTCTTGGGGTCTCTTGGGGGCCTCTTGGGGCCTCCTAGTGGTATCTTGGGGCGGAGCGCTCGACGTGTCGGTTCGGGCACTTCCTTTTGGTTCCACTTGGGACGGTCTTGAGCTTTTTCGGGCCGTCTGAGGCATTTTTGGGCTGTCTTGGGCTCCTCGTGGGGGCGTGTTGGGCCGTCTCGGGGGCATCCGGGGCCGTTTTGACCGCCGTGAGGCCGAAAAGTTGTACATGTGAATGCCGTCACAGAGATTGACGATTTTTACATCTTGGGGCCTCTTGGGAGGCCTCTTGAGCGTCTCTTGGGGCATCTTGGACGCCTCCTCAGCCGTCTTCAGGCCATCTTGGGCGTCCTGGACCGGTCGTTCGGCGATTCGGGGCTCTCTTTGACCGTCTTGGGGGCTTCTTGGCGCGCTCTTGGCCCTTTTCCGGGCCCTCTTCGGGTCCGGAGAAATCACGCGAGAAGGTTGCTGGGCCCGAAGAAAAGTCATGCGAGAAGACGCGCCGGGGGCCGGGGGTCACGCAGGAGGCCATAGGAGATTTGAGCATTCGGGCTCTGGGCCCTTGCAGAAACCCTCAGGGTTCAGAGACTGAGGTTGAAGGGATGCGGCCAAGGGCCTCAGGATACTCCAGCTCGTGCCTCGGGGCACGGTGGCGGATAGAGACCGAT